GGGGCTGGCCCCGCTGTGTCCCGGAGGCGGCAAAGCACAACTTTCCTCCGCTTCTCCCCCCGGGGCCGGATTCCTGCTGCCGCCCCCGACGCCACCACCGCTACTGCTGCTGCTCTTCCCGCTGCTGCTCTTCTCCCGGCTCTGTGGTAGGTGAACCTCGGCGTCCGGCGCGGGCTGAGGGAGGCGCGACCTAGGGTCCCGGCGCCGGCCGCTCTCCGAGGCGGCGAGGCAGTTGTGCTCGGCGGTTGGCTGCGCGAGCGGGTGCCGCGGACTTTGGCTGGAAACTTTTCGCCGCGCCCGGGGCGAGGCCGGGGAAGAGCAGGGGCCAGCGGGTGCAGCGCCGGCCGCCCGCTCCCCTCCCCTCCCCCGCTCACCGCGCCGTTGCCCGACGCCGAGTGCTGGGTGCGCTGGGAGCTCCTCAGTGTTTGCTCCGGGGACCGTTACCTCCTCTCTCTTTCGCGAAGGAAGCCGAGAGCGCGGACTTCTGGGCTGGGGCGAAGGTGCCTGGCTGCACCGTTGCTGCCTCCTTTCCCTCCCTCCCCCCCGCCGTGAAACTTGAGCTCTGAGCCCGGATACCTTTTGGGACCAGAGCCCGACGGATGAAACCTTTGGCTCCCAACCCCTCATCGCCTTCCACCCTGGAGAAGGCACCATGTTAGCCCACCCTACAGCATCCCCTGCAGTCAGTTTTCTACGATCGTCCGGCCCGGTTCTGCCCTCGCAGCCTCTGGGTCGCGTTGCATTGAGCCCGTCGCTGCCTTCCAGTTTGTGGGACGTCTCTCACACTGTCCATGTTTATTTTAGAGAACTCTGTTTGTCTTCGGGACTTCGATTTATGTGTTAAATACCTGATTGCATCTAATGTGCCCTGGCTGTTGTGATCAAAACAAACCCCACGCCTCTTCCCGTCTCTTTCTTCCCTCGTTTTGTGTTACAGCTTTCCTGTCACATTTGGGAGTTAGTCTCTTTGTAGATTCTGTTCCTAGGTATCGGAGACTAGAAGTACACTTGTTAAGGATAGTGTAAAAAAAAAATGATCTCTCTTAAGGATCGTGTAAAAAAATCTGATCTCTCACGCAAGAGAGATGGACGTAAGTGATCATTAGTGGAAGGCGGTAATTTGGGAAAGTAAGGTCACCAGTCTTTGGGGATTAGCTCTGTGTGTCTTTTGATAATACTGAAATACTGCAGGAAGTTATTCATTTCTAAGACACTTACTTGGTGAGGAAGGTGGAGAAGCAAAAACTTAACGCTTGCTAAAGATTGGTTTACCCAAGACATTTTTATTGGTACATTAAGGCTGCTGTTGGATCTGTGTTTAATGAAATCGTAAATGAAACCAGAAGTTTTATCAGTATTTATTGAAAGGAGAGATGTGTGCAGATTTCTGGGATGGTGTGATTTAGAAGAAAGAGGGTCCTGTTCCGGGAGGTGTGTCAGGGTAGTTGGTTATGAGGGAGGCAGAGTTTTCAAGAGATTGAGTGCCCCTTATAGGCTGAGAATTTCCTCTACCAGTTCACCACCACGTTTCAAGCATTGTAATGAAAGTTTCTGATTTACAGAGTATAGTCTGATAAACTGCTTGTTATCTAACCTACATTGTTTCTGTAGCTCCACTCCCCAGCTGTTTGGTTCCGCAACACAGTTCTTAATGCTGTTACCTCTTTAAATTGATTTAAGATTCTAGGTTGAATTTGTGTACTGTTCTTTTCCATTAGGGAGGATTTGTGGATTACAGTTGGGTGGGAGAAAAGTTGGAGGGGGTGTTAACAGTTTACTAGCCTGATTTAGATTGTGTTAAGGACCCAGTGAATAGTACTTGTATCTCCAATAAAGGCTTATCTAGCTAGGCGAAGCCTTATAGAAGACTGAAACTAGGTGGTACGTGCGGATAATCAAGGATATAGAATTTGAGTAATAATTTCATAGTGCTTGTACAAGTGAAGTGTTGATTACTTTTGAAGGAATGCATTGGTTTTCATGTGGAAGAAGAAAGGAGCTTTTTTTTTTAACCTCTTCAGTAATGTCCTATCGGAGGGGCTTGATATTTTTACTTTAGGTCCTAAAAATTCACGTAAAATAGGCAAATGGATTGTGATTTAGAGCAGGTGTAAATTGAAGTTTTTAGAGTCAATTCTGCTTGTAGTTGTAGGGACAGGCACTAGCTTTGTGTTACTCTGTGCCCTGTTCTTTTAAAAAGCTTCCTTTTCTGGCTTATAGTGTTAATAACACCCTAATTTGTGAACCCTTATGACAAGTTTTTTTTTCCATCAACCTCTCTCTATTTTAGGCAGTCTTTGAGTAGGGCACAGTTGTCCTGACTTACGGATGATTAATAAGTATGGAAGTAGAATTTTCTTCATGTAACCTGTTTGTTGATCTGACATTCATAGTACTACTGACAAGGTTTTATGTGTACTATTGTTTGAGTAGTCAGTTTTAGAGTTGAAAAGATTTTTAGGCTTTAAAGAGATGATTATCTGATTTGTTAATCAGAATCCTTTACTTGTTCAACATTTACGGATATTTTTTCCTTTTTGCTCTTATTTTTGATACGCTGCATATGTAAATTTAGCACGACCTTAGCTATGCTTAACATCTGCAATATCATCTATTAGTGCAAGGTAATTTTTATACCATGTTCATTTGCTTAAAAAAAAAAAAAGAAAACCCTTGCAAATGGTAGACTTGATACTCTGAAAGCTGTAAAAAATGACATCATTTATGTTGTTTTGCGGGTGTACACTGTCTTATATGAAGAACTGAACTTTTAAAATGTTTACAAACTGTCAAGTTTTTTGCTTTTTGTTTTTTAAGCCTAAGAAATTCCTAGGTATAAAGGTCAAGGCGACTAGATTTGCAATACCATGTGACTCCATAAATCTCATTTATTTAAAGCTCATTATTCGGGAATTCCGTATATATTTTTTTAACTGAAGTAGAGTTAACACACGATGTTATATTAGTTTCAGCCATATTTTTCTATGATGGCAATAATTAATTCATAGGTGGTTAGATTTATCTCACTTTCCTTCCACCATTTTTCTTGAAAGGTAGAGAATACTACCTGGGATATGGTATCAGTGAAGGAAGGAGAAGGTAAAGGCTTCTTGACCTTTGTCAATTCCTATTTGAAACTAGGATTCTATGACTTTGCATTTTCATCAAGGTTTTATCTGAAGAAGAATGTTAGAAGGTGATAAAAAAGAAGATCTAATATTATATTGAACCTTGAACAGCACTTAATAGTACTTTCTGTATTCCGGCACTTGTTAGGCACGTGGGGACATAAAACATGAGTATGGCAGAGTCCTGGCTTCAAGGAACTTACAGCATTGTGATGATAGACATGAAAGAAATAGTTGTTCATAGGACAGTGCAGTGTTTATGATAGAGATCTGTATGAGGTACTGTGGGGTTGCCCAGAAGAGGGATACCTAACTCATTAGGTAAAGATACATGAATGTGAACTGAGAAAAAAAAAGAGAATTACTTTTTAAAATATCAGTTGAGGGGCACCTGGGTGGTTCAGTTGGTTGAGCATCCGACTCTTGATTTCAGCTCAGGTCATGATCTCAGGGTCCTGGGTTCTAGCGGATTCTGCTTCTCTCCCTCTCCTTCTGCCCCCGCCTCTCAAATAAATAAATCAATCTTTAAAAAAAGTAAAAAATCAATTGAGTCAGATCTTATGAGATTAGGCATTGTGGTAGGTGGTACAAGTTTGCTTTCTCTGTCTCTGCCCTTTATGGTTTAGATACTAAATAGGCAGTTTGATTCTGAAAAAAAGGCTGTCACTTACTAGCCTTTTGAATCCTTGGCAAGCTGTTTAACCTCAGTAAACTTAAGGTTTTTCATCTTTAAAAAAAAAAAGATGTTGTCACCTTGCCTATAGAATTGTTGAGAGGATTAAATCAAAGAATAAAACAGGGTGCATGGAATATAATGAACATTCAAATGTTAGCATTTATTAGATTGCACCTTATAAACTAACCTGCCTAGTGTTTGTCATTCTTAAATTCTACTCTGGATGTCTTGAATAATTGGGTTTTCAAGGTAATTGACTTACTCTATTTGCACTTTACATCTTTATTTTGAGTGTATAATGCAGTCAGTGTTCTTCAAATATTTGTTAAATTTACTTCAGATAAATATTCAGAAGACCAATTTTGAGAATATTAGGATACAGTGAAATTAACTAACTTGTGTAATTGTATGGAACCAAGTTGAATCTTCCCTTGGTGATGTAGAATGCCTTTTAAGATTTGGCAGTTCCATAAGGTTGCTTGGAATGTTAGTGTTCATACTGAAAATGTAGAGTTGGAGAAAAGTGTCACAATTAAGTTTATCAAGTTATCAGATTGGGGCCTATAATACACACTGCCTATATAAATCTTTCTGCATCCTAAACATATAATTGGAAAGTGAACCAAATTTAGAAGCAAGCTAAAAGACCCAAATCTTTCATTCTTGCATTTAGCTATAGCATCAGAAATAGGAATTGGAAAAAGCTGGGCAATTATATATTTGTGTGTGCATGTATGTATTTACAGTCTTGCCCTGTTTATTTCACCTATGCTTCCATATATTTATATATGTTTAATTTAGTGATTCAGCAACTCTGATGTACATTTTATATCAGTGTAGTAAGAAGTAAAACTTACGGCTTATTGCCTATTACTTCAAAATTAAAAGAAGCTGGATGGGATACCCTTTTTAAAAAATAGAGTATTTTGACATTTTGTAATTTGGCCCTTTAAAATCAGAGAGTAAATAACATTTTTATAGCATATTGTATACTCTGTTAAGGTGCTCATAACAATTCATAGTAAAGACAAACTAGTTTGTGAAAGATGTGACATTTAATTAATAATGGCTATTAATATATAAATTTAGGATAAAATCAAATAATCCTTAAGCTAGTAGTGGGATGACTACTAGATGATTTTATGTACCAGGCATTCAGATCCAAAAATCTAAGTACGATAAATGTCATACTTTTGATTACCTTTTGTATTTTTATCTAAAATTATTTAAAGTCTTGAATATCATTTCCTGAATATTATAAAACTTAAGATTTCTATTTTTATATAGGTTCTGACATATTTTATCATTTATTTAAATAAAATTTGTTGTGAATCTTTATCAA